TAAAAAAAATACAATACTATTTTTGCATTGTATGAAAATTTTTGTTGCTCCGTATAAATTTTTTAATCAACCCTCCCCCCCTCCCGGTCAAAGGTGTTCCTCTTTACCAATCTGAAAATCTGGTCACCTTATTTATGATCCTATTTTTCAGAGTTTCCCATGTATTATTCCCCCTTTAGGATTTTCACCATGGAATTTTTCTTAGGCACTCTCTGAGTTTGTTAATTCAGTTTTTTTAAAAGTTTAAGACACTGACTGGGTTATGTTCTATTGCTTGGAATTGCATTATATTGAATTCCAATATGTTCTGGTCATTCTTTCCCAAAGTTCTGGAAACTTCAACTCTCTCTTCTTTTCTATTAGTACAAATTAGGTACAGTATAGCTTTTCCTCTAGTTGCTTCTTCTATCTTTTGGCTGATACAAGTTGTTGGTTCAGCATTTATTTGCTCTCCCATTTGTTGCTAAGTTTGTCTCCCAGTTGATATCAGGTTAACTGATATCATGTTAGATATGCTGGCAGAAATGTCCTTTATGAAATTCTTTAATATTTTGAAATGACTGAGTATAATATCACCAAACATAAACTCTCTTTTCCAAAAGAGTATTCATAGTTATATGCATGGTATATATGTATGTATTTCTATACATGTTTATGTATATTAAAAATTGTGAATAATTTATCAGAATAAAATTTGTTTTCTTTAAAAGCTCTTTTTACTAAGTAATGTTAAATGATAGTCAAAAAATGTGGAAATGTTTTTTTATCCAAAAGAACTCTAAACTATAAATTATAGTAAATAATTTATTTTTAATGTATTGATGAATTATGAGTTCTAGAAAAAGATTAGGTTTCTTGTTTATCATATAGAAAGAGACACATTGTGATATTTTATGTAATGAAATAAGCAGAGAGACCATCCATTGCTCAAATGTTCTGCTTTAGTCTATTCTCAGCCATAGAAGCTCTCTATGTGAGATTGAGCTAGTCATTGCCTTTCCATATAATTTTACTACAGTGTTCTCTTTGTGGAACATAGGAGAGGCAACAGTATAGATATTTCCCTTGAATTCTTTGGAATATATATATTTGTGCTGATAAATAAATAAAGGGAGACTAGTATAGATCTATTTCAAGCTATTTAGCTTTCATCAGTTAGCCATACCCTTACTGGGAATTGAACCTGTGCTGTACTGTACTGTGTGTGTGTGTGTGTGTGTGTGTGTGTGTGTGTGTGTACCAGTGGTGGGTTTCAAATTTTTTTTGAACCTACTCTGTGGGTGTGGCCTCCTTTATGGGAGTGGCTTGCCGCCCATGTGACCGGATATGAAGATGCTGAAGACACTTGTCAGAACCACCTTAAATTACCTCACACACAGCACTAGCATGCATAAGAATATGATGTAAACCTGTTTTTTAAAAGGCATCTTTGGTTTGCGTTAAAACAACTTCAATACACGCAATGTTCTGATTGCACCACAAACGCAGTAGTCATCCTTACCTTTCACAGAGGCGCTGAGTTTTATAAATATGAGCATGATAGTGTAGAATAATCATATCCAAGGAACAGTGGTGGGTTTCAAAATTTTTTGGAACCTCTTCTGTAGGTGTGGCCTGCTTTCCAGGTCCACTGGTGGAACCTCTTCTAACCGGTTCGGCAGATTTGATGAACCGGTTCTACCGAATAGGTGCGAACTGGTAGGAACCCACCTCTGATATATACACACAGCGACTATATGTTTTCAATTCCTTTGAAAATACACACACACACACACACAGACAAACACCAACAGAGGTGTCAAACTCAATTTCATTGAAGGCCACATCAGGATTGTGTTTCACTTTATGGGGGCCATGGGGGCATGGCCAGGATGAGAGTGACCAGCTCGATGTTACTTGTGTTGGGGGCACCTGTATGGCCCAAGTGCTCTGCCAGCAAAAACAGGCTCTCAAGCTCTGTTTTCAGCTGCGATGGATTCCTGCAAACCTCTGCCAGTGAACATTTTTGCTGGCAGATGCACCATGGGCCAGTCCATTGGTGTTTCCGGGATGGCCCCGTCGGTCAGATCTAAGTACCCTGCAGGCCGGATCCAACTCTTGGGCCTTGACTTTGACACCTCTAATACACACACACACACATGCACACAATACTCTTGTTCTATTCTATTTCATTATTTCTTAAAATATCATTCTGTTTAGCTCTCCTATGGCTCTGCTCCAGTGATGATGGATCACACCCAATCACCTTATTTTTATCAAATGGTCCCAAATGAAGTCTATCAGTACAGAGAGATTCTTGAATTACTTCTTTATTTCAGGTGGACATGGGTAGGATTTTTCATTGCAACTGGAATTAATTCTGAATGGGTACTTCAAGTTATGATTCCAGAATTTGCTGCTCATGGGATTTGTTTTGCTTTTATAGATACTGTCCATAATGTAGGCATGATAATTGAATATGGTGATTTTAAAAAATGGACATTTAAACTATGGAATAAATTCATGACCAGCACAGCCAATGTATTTCTCCTCTTTGGTAAAGTTCAAACTCCAGTGTTTTTGGACTGGTTGCTAGTCCAAGGAAGAGATAGTGAGAAAACAAACACAACAAAAGGTAAAGTGTGGATTTTGACTGCTCAGCTAGAAGCCAAGTCCTATAGTAATAAACAGGGTCAGATATCTGCTAAACTTATCTACTCTGGGGCTTTATCATTGGTTGTCCATTCCAATGGGCTGCCAGGATTTCTGCAATTCATTCTGGAGAGAAAGCCTTCCAATGTAAAAGAAGATTTTTTAATAAAAGACTTTTGGTCTTCTGCTTTTGGTTGCACCTTCCCCAACTGGATTCTGAACCATACAAATAGTGATCTCTGCACTGGACTAGAGAGCTTGGAAAACATTTCTGAAAACCTTTTGGAAAAAACCATTACTGGGCAAAGCTATAGTATCTATAATGCTGCCTTTGCTGTGGCTCATGCTTTCCATGCCATGTACTCATCTAGATTCAAGCACAACAGAATGCTGAAAAGGGAGAGATGGACATCTCTGACTCAGCAGTCATGGAAGGTAATGTAAATCTAAAAAGTCTACTAATGCATCATTTTCACTGATTGGGACCACTACTGCAATAAACATATAGTAGTGATTGTTTATATAAACCCTGATGGGCCAACTTGTTGTAAGAATTCATATGTCAGCTAATCATGCCTATAATACTGTGTGTACAATATTTTGATCCATTTTTATTATAATTATCAGTAGTATGTAAAAAGATACTGGAAATATTTTGCTGTTGAAACACTTTTGTAGGGATCACACTACATCCTTTAACATAACGTTCTTAAGAATCCTATGTTAACTATTATTTATATTTTGCAAGATATCCTTTTCCTCTTTAATGTTTAATGTAGAATTTGGGAAGGCTTCTCTTCTTTTCATTTCCAACCTAATACTAAAAAGGTTCACTTACAACTAATTTAAATAGAGCTTAATTCTAGATATACTATAGTTGAGCTCAGTTTAGCATAGTTACAGTTATAGTTACTACAAAGTGAGTTATAATAGCTATAACTTTACCTACTCAATTAATTAATGTTACATTTAATACCACAAAGATTAACTGGTGTTCAAGAAACACATTCATATTACAAAGACATTCATGATATTTATGTACATGTAGGTGATTCCTGGCAACTAGTTCCTGCACTTTTCTTGGCTTTACGTTTAAATATGGTACAGCACTGTCCCCCCCCACAAAAAAAAAGGTTGAGGGACTGGCCAATGTTCACCTAGTTGGCTTCGCACCTAAGGCAGAATCAGAACTCATGCTCTGATTTTTAGCCTGTTATCTTAGCCATTACACCAGACTGGCTCTTACACAAACTATTTAGGTTTCAGTTGGAATAAATCTTCTTGAATGAAGGCTAATTTCATAAAGTTCTCTGTCACAATGTTCACATTATCTCCGTTTACTTATATCAATTTACTGGATTTCTCAACACTGCGAATAATATATTGCCAAATGTGTGTGTGTGTGTGTGTGTGTGTGTGAAGATAGGAGCTTGGATTTAAATTATTATTGCCATGCAGGATAAATGTTCATCATTGGTCATTAAGACAACCTGATTTTTAAAACATAGTTAGATTGTTTTAGAAGTTACAGAACTCAGTACTGTGAGAGTACTGGATTTCCAGTGTGTGGGGAGTGCATTTAAAAGGAATAAGAATCAGGTTAGTCCAGATATTTTGTGTGAGGGAGAAATGGTGAAGAGAGCCCCTCCCTAACAGTTCTCAAGAATATAGTAGAGTACTATAGGTTTGCTACAATAAAGAACTGTGCTTCAAATAAATTATCAGATATCTTTCCTAGTTTGGGGGAATACCATAATTGTTCACATCTTTGTTTAGTTTTATGTGTTGGAACATTTTCTTAAGCATTTATTTTCCTTTTATCCTCAGCTGCTCTATTTTCTGAAGCAAGTGTCTTTTAATAATACTGTAGGGGAAAAGATTTCCTTTGATCAGAATGGTATACTTCTAACAACATTTGATGTTATAAACTGGGTTTTATTTCCAAATGAGTCTTTAATTGGAGTAAAAGTTGGCATGATCAACTCACAAGTAACAAGAGATCACAAATTGATGATGAACAAAAATCCCATTGTTTGGCATGGCTGGTTTAACCAGGTAGGACATAATTGTCTAAAAATATGACTCAGGATATATTTCTTGTTCACGGTGGATTTGTCAAATACTTTGTTTTACTCTGTTTCTTCTTTCTTCAACCTTAGTAAAATTTTGGGTTTAGTTACTGATTTTAATGTATGAATAAACATAAATTTCATCTGAATGTCTTCAAGCATACAAACATTATGCTCCTCCTCTAACATGCACATTTACACAATTCAACTGGGCATGCATTTATATGAATATTAAATATAACTTTATCTTACTTGTGATAGTCTCTTTTTACTGCTCTTCTAATATTGGAGGATGAATTATTTTTGTTCATATTTCAATTTTGGTTATTGATATATTTTGGGGAAAATATGATTTTTTCAAGCTTCCCTTTTTTATGACATAACTCAATACTAAGGCATTATTGCCTTTCTTTCTCAACTTTCTATACTGTACATTTCTTTTGTACATTTCGTTTGTTTTTCTACCCCTATGCTTACTTACCTTAAAATTAAATCAACAATATGCAAATACTACATTTAATGCATAATTCTGATGAGGATTCTAAATATTATCATTTCCTAACATTGTAAACAGAATATTAATAGTATTAGACTTTTTAAAGTAGCTTGCATTTAATTTTAATAATTAATACAGAATCTATATCTGCAAGCAGCTATACCTAAATGCAATCCATGGAATAATTGGTACTATGAATTTGAACCAATGTTTAAGATTAAGTCTTTTAGCAATGAGTAAATTTCCTCATGGAAAATATAGAAATAACCAATTTCAAATTTGGTATCCTTCCAGTGAGCTTAGAATAACTGTTCCAAAGTCAGAAGAGGATAATTTTGTATAAGAATATTTTAGCCTGAAGGATTATGAAGACAATAACCTGTGAAATGCCATTGTTTGCCACATTCTCCTCTGAACTTAAATATTCTATAATTAAGTGTGTGAATGTTTATGTTGGTTTTTGTTGTCTACTCTCACTGATGAAGGTGCAACCTATCTCTGCTTGTAATGAAAAGTGCCAACCTGGTTATAGCAAACAAAAGAAAGAAGGGGAACCATTTTGCTGCTATGATTGCATTCCCTGTCCAGAAAGCAAGATTTCTGAGTGGGAAGGTAAGGGATAAAGTGCTTTCTCAAAGAACATGAGCTATCATAAAGATTACACTAGAGTTATATATTTTTCTCTAATTTCTTCTTCTATTGTTTAGATATTGGACCTTTATCTTATGAACTTAAACAAAATTGTGCCTATCTACTTGTCCCACTAAATTTAATTTACTGTTTTAATTGTGTTATTACCTAGAGGGAAAAACAGAGTTCGTTGTTTGAATTATTTCACATTGGTTTTAAGTTGCAGTCATTTTATTAGCCTAAACAGAAAAAAGTTAGACACTAGAAGAATAAATATTATAGAAATAAAATATTATAGAGACAAATATTTTAATTGCTCTCTAATAAATATATTAATACATAATAAAAGAGGTAGGTGGCTATGCATATAGGCAATGTCCCCAGTAGGTAAGTTAGTTTAGCATCCTAAATAGGTAACCTTTATTCCTTAATTCTTTTTCAACAGTATACAGTTTTTTTCTGAAATTTCTGGGCAGTAAAAGGAGAAATAGATGGTCTCAGTAAGTGGTGAGATTCATTTACTTTCCCTACCATTTTGCAAATGTGAGCGTTAGTGAGCATGTATGAGTGTGTGCTTGCTTCGCTCATATGTGCCATATCTCTGCACACACTGCCTTCTGTGCATGCTCAGTGCTTGTGCATTATGTTGGATGGGTGGGCAGATCCTCCAGCTGCTTCTGCTACCGGTTCATCCAAACCAGAAAGAATAAGCTGAATACCATTTCTGGTCTGAGTGCTCTTCAGGACCTTAGCACCTTTTTTCACTGGAAAAAAAATACGTACCTAAGTGGAAAAAATCTGATAACAGGATATAATGCTTTCTATTAATGAACATGCAGGTTACTCCATCCTACAGCACTTTCTATGGGAGGGGGGGATAAAAAAGAGCAAGATAAGTTAGTAGACCCAATATTGAACTGAATGCCTTTCAGTGGGATGTGCATAAAGAAAACAAGTTCCATCTCCCAAGAGAAAAGTGTCTATAATAGAAAAACACTGTTCTTCCTCATTAACACTTATATGAACTATCTCAATATAATATATGTGTGTATCTAAGACTAAGCTTCTGTTTTACAGATATGCCTGACTGCATAGAGTGCAAGCAAGATCTTTACCCAAACAAGCATCAGAATGTCTGCATTCCAAAAATTGTAACCTTTTTATCCTATAACGAACCTATGGGAATGGGTTCAACCACTGGAGCTCTTTTCCTTTCACTAATAACTATTGCCTTGTTAAAAACATTTAGAATGCATCACAATACTCCCATCATCAAAGCTAATAACAGGGATCTCACTTATATTCTTCTTACCTCCCTTCTTCTCTGCTTCCTCTGTACTTTGCTTTTTATTGGGCAGCCTCGGAAGGAGACATGTTTTCTGCAGCAATCATTTTTTGGCATTGTCTTTTCAGTGGCTGTCTCTTCAGTATTGGCCAAAACCATTACTGTGGTTCTGGCATTCAGGGGTACCCCACCAGGGACAAAGAGATCTAAGGGGATGGGGAAAGGATTAGCCAATTCCATTGTTATTTTTTGTTCTCTTATTCAGGTAGGCATTTGTACTGTGTGGCTGTCAACCAGTCCCCCATTCCTGGATGCTGATATGCACTCAGGAATGGATGAAATTACCCTCCAATGTAATGAGGCATCACCTGTCATGTTTTACAGTGTGATTGGGTACATGGGCTTTTTAGCCATTGCCAGCTTTATTGTGGCTTTCTTTGCCAGGAATTTACCTGATAGTTTCAACGAAGCCAAATCTATTACATTCAGCATGCTAGTGTTCTGCAGTGTGTGGTTGTCATTTGTTCCAACTTACCTGAGCACTAAAGGAAAATACATGGTTGCTGTGGAGATTTTCTCTATTTTAGCTTCCAGTGTTGGATTGCTGAGTTTCATATTTTTCCCCAAATGGTACATCATTGTTGCGAGGCCTGAACTGAACAACAAAGATCATCTTAAGTGGAGAAAGCGCTGAAGAAGAAAAGAATCTACAACATCCCTTACAGATAGAAGATAACATGGCATTTTTAAAAAAAAAAAAAAAAATTCTACTGATGAACTATTTGAAACTATCTTGGCTGATTCTGATGGGATTTGTATGTTTGCTTTTGGTATGGTAGTTTATATTAAAAATTATATCCATAACAATACAAGCTAATTCAAACTGAAAAAAGAAGAAAAAAGAGTAGAAGTTAAAAAAAGAAAAAAAGAGATAAAAAAGAAAAGTAATAATATACTAAAAATGAAGATAAATATATAAATTTACTTCCCATTTTCATTGCAAATATAATTTTAGAAATTTATCAGCCTCTCTTAAAATACAACAAGTGACCTACGTCAAATGACCTTCCCATGTCCTATTTATTATGTAGAAATAAGTAGGCAAAATGTTGTTGTTATGGTGTTGTTGTCAGTAACTTCCATTAAAGGTTACCTGGGATGAAACATATCTATTTTAACTTTGATCAAATAAACCAACTTTATATTCATTCTTTTTATGTGTAACGATAATGGTTTGGATTATGTAATTATGACTGAAAATTTAGACAAAAACTAAAGTTTTCATAGGATAATATTATTTGGAACTATATAGTACATGGAATATGATAACCAGATAATGTAAATGCTTTCTCTGTAAGTTTAGTATGGACAAAAGACTGATGTTCCAGCATTGGAAAGATAAATATATGGCTTCATTTCTTCAATAGATTAAAGATCTGATTGCCCTTGACACTTATGAGTGGAATACCTTTAGATGTAAACGCTGTATGAAACATATAATGAAATATGGAATTTATACAATATACTGCAAATTAAAAACAAACAAAAATAAAAATGATAGTCATATAAATGTATTACAAAACATGCATACTTGAATAATATTTGCATTGTATTTGCACCATTATTATCTTTGTGTTTTATTCTTTTCCTTTTTTGCTATAAATCAGAAAGCAATAAACTAAATAAATGCAAATTAAAAAATAACTTTAGAATAAAACAAATAAACCAAAACCATTTCCTGCATTTCCTCAGATTGTTTCTCAATTAAGTGTGTTAAAGTTACTTTTACAGAAGGTCTTTCTCACTGGTATAGTGATTATAACTGAACTGACATGCAGATGGCACTTAATTCAAAACTCACTAGAAACCTGAAAATATGTATTTTTCTTTCTCTAATTTTTCTTCCTTATGAGTTTATAAACATTAACTGAAAATATTAAATAAACAAAACAAAGGACCTGTACTCAAAATCTGGGAAACAAGCTTCCACGTAACACTCCTAACAAAAGAAGACTTGGAGGCTTGAATTTCCTCAAGAAAAATGTGGCAGGCTTTAAAGGTCAATGTAAAGATGGCTTCCAGGCCTGACACTAGCCTTATCATACTATCTTCCAAAAGTATATTTCTAGAAATTAATTGCCTTCCAGTAAAATTTACTCGACATGTATTTTTGGAATCCAATCTATTTTAACAATGTTTATTTAGGATTGTTGTACAAGTCTATTTATTTATCAAACTTAGAAAGCTCTCATGACCCTTACAAAAATTAGATAAATTCTGACTTTTTATTCAAAATTTTTAGATTAGGTAAATTGTGCTTCAAAAATTAATCACAATCTGAAATTTGTTTTAACTGACCATAATTTGAATATGGGTTGACTTTAGGAAAAAAATAGGTGTATATAATTTTAAATACATTTCAGAAGCTAATTTTCCTCCCCCCCCTTTTTCTCTCCATTTCACAAGAAAAAGTTTTCTGTTAATTTTTTTCTAGAATCTAGTAGTTGTGGGAGCTTCATCATTGAAAGCTTTCAAGAAGAGATTGGGTTTTCAAGAAGAAACTTGGATCTGTTAGAAATGGTGTAGGGCAGGGGTGTCAAACTGGATTTCTTTGAGGACTGGATCAGCATTGTAGTTCTCCTCTGTGGGCCAGCAAGGGGGGGAGAGATGGGACAGACACCTCCTTTAGCACCCTACTGACCAAAATGGGGTGTGGGGCCAAACAGACCATTTTTGGTCTGGGTGGACTCCTGCAGCACTTTGCCAGCCAAATTGGGGCATGAGGACTGTGCATTCTCCCCTATGCCCCATTTTGGCCAGCAGTGTGCTACAGGAGGCCACCCAGGTGAAACACAGGCTGTGAGGGGGCCATATGTGGACCCCTATGTCCCATTTTGGCTGGAAGAGTTCTGGAGGAGGCCATGTAGGCTGAATACCTAGAGAGGCACATATAGCTCCCATCCCCCATTTTGGCTGCCAGATACACTGCAGGCCAATCCTTTTCTATTTCCAAGATTCAGCCCGCGAACCTAGAGTTTGACAACCCTAGTATAGGGTCTTCTGCTTGGGCAGGTGGTTGGACTAGATGACCTACAATTTGCCTTCCAGCTGTGTTATTCTATTCTATTCTATTCTATTCTAATTAGAAGCCCCAGGCAACTATCAGATAACTGTAATTATTTCTATTACTTTCCAATGTCTCTGTTGATTTTATTACAACTTGTTGACAAGTATAACAGCATATCCTTATGTGTTTGTGTGTGGGTGTATGCATGAATGTTTGTAGCGAGTATATATAAGTACAGGGATAAAAATGATTTACAGATAGGTTTTGAGTTAGATTGATCTAAACATATGCTCCTTGTGGTTTAGTTATTACATTTCAATTTTCATTTAAATCCAGCTATTCTTTTCATAGATGTAGCTATACATGCATTTGTGTTTCAGTTTAGAAGGTCAATTTGTACTTAGTATGTTGATTGTAGTAGGATTGTTTGTTCTGCTGCTGCCTCGTGTGACATACCAGATGAACATAAAGTGTCGAATTGTGGATCACCATCACATTTTTCACATGTACCTTAAGCCAGGGGATCTTCTTCTTGGTGGCCTTGTTCGTCATACCTTCTTTGTCTCCAGCCCAAAATCTTTTGATAAATCACCACCTCCAACATACTCTGAAAAGTACCAGTAAGGAATTAGATACCTTTGCACAGATTATATGGAGAAGATCAATTTTATTGGTATGATTTATTGTAGCAAGGGATGTAATACATTCTTTTCCTAGAAATCCAATAAGATTGCAAATCTGATCATGCTGCCCTGATTCTCCAAGGAAATATTAATTATATAGTCAGTGTTTAAGATATTTTAATGAAGTCAAAATATTATAGATTGATTAATGTTTAGTTACATTTGAAGAGAATTTAGTAAGATTACTAAAGATAACTAGGAAGATACATAAAAGAGTAACATGTATATTTAACTTCTTTCTAAGGAATATATTTTCATTCATTTATACCAATATTCTCTTAATTCAGCCGTTGTTTCAAATTAAAATTCTACTTTGTACAATTGTTTTTGAATTTATCCCTCTATAGGAACCTGAAATATGTAACAATCTTAAATCAATCAGAAAAAGTCTTTATAAACAAATATGCATAAGGTAAAAAGGCAATGCAAATTTTACGAAAATCAAGTTCAACTTCCAGAGATTTTAAATGTTTGATATAACTTTCTTGGTAAAAAGTTATGTATAGAAGGGGTCACCTTAGCCTTTATCTACCTATAATCTTTGTATTCTCTGAAAGTAGTATTTGGAGTGATGGGACAAAATCAGCTGGTGTTCTCAGTAGAGATACACTATATTGCCAAAAGTATTTGCTCACCTGCCTTTACTCGCATATGAATTTACAGTAAGTGACATTCCATTCCTAATCCATAGGGTTCAATATGATGTCGGTCCACCCTTTGCAGCTATAACAGCTTCAACTCTTCTGGGAAGGCTGTCCACAAGGTTCAGGAGTGTGTTTATGGGAATTTTTGACCACTCTTCCAGAAGCGCATTTGTGAGGTCACACACTGATGTTGGACAAGTTTATGTGGCCTACCACTTCGTGGCTGAGTTGCTGTAATTCCCAAACACTTCCACATTCATATAATACAGCTGACAGTAGACTGGGGAATATTGAGGAGTGAGGAAATTTCACGACTGAATTTGTTGCACAGGTGGCATCCTATCACAGTTCCATGCTGGAATTCATTGAGCTCCTGAGAGCAACCCATTCTTTCACAAATGTTTGTAAAAACAGTCTGCATGCCTAGGTACTTGATTTTATACACCTGTGGCCATGGAAGTGATTGGAACACCTGATTCTGATTATTTGTATCGGTGAGCGAATACTTTTGGCAATATAGTGTATATCAACAGATACATTTATGAATTCGAAAATCATCCTGGGAGTGAAAGAACAGAAGCTTGCATATTATAAAATGTTAAATCATCTCTTTAATGTGCAAATGTTGCTTTGTTTTAAAAATAGTCTGCTGTAAATAGTAACCTTGCAGAGTAAATATCACCCTTTAGATTGCTGTGGGCCCTCATGCTGAGGTAACTTTTAAAAATTTTATACCAAGCATGACTCCTAAACTACTATGTAGAACTCAACTTTATTGCAGAGAATCTTATTGCTTTCAAAAAAGATAAATAGTTAATTTGTTTTTACTCTAGAAATTTCACATACATTTTATGTAAGTTTGTTGGAAACTACATAGATGAGGTCCATTCCTGTCTTCCTCTAATTGATAGATCAACTTCTGGGTCACGTTTTTGTACCAAGTATGCCTCTTAAACTATGGAATATATATCTATATATTACTGAATTAGTCTGACACATAATGAAACTCCCACTGTAGGGTTATGACTCAGAACTACCAACATATTCTGGCCTTGGACTTTGCAATAAAGAAAATCAATGAAGACCCACAGGTCTTACCCAACATCACTCTTGGATTCCATATCTATGATAGCCATTTCAATACCAGGTGGGCCTTTCGTTCTGCAATGCAACTTATTTCTCCAAAGGAGCAATTTCTCCCAAATTACCATTGTGATAGTAAAGACAATCTTCTTGCAATCATTGAAGGACTTGGCATTGAATCTTCCTCTCAGATCCCAAATATTTTTAGCATCTACAAAATTCCTCAGGTAGGATATATGTATAGATTATATGCATTTAGAAGTGATCCAATTATCTTTTTTTTAATCAGATATTGATACATTCTTTAGGCAGATTTGGATTTATTTCCTCTAATCATATCAAATTTATTGGTGTGGCAATATAGCTCATCTGAGAAGTATCATCCCAGATTATTCCAGCATTAAAAAGTTTTTCAGTGCTGTTAGTGTAGCTAAAAAATTAGAAGTTAAAGAAGAGAACGTTATAATGTTCTCTTCATAACGTTAAAAATGATATTTTATGAAATACTATCAAATCTTTATACTTCTTGTGAAGGATAAATTCTTAGCACAAGGTACTTTTTATCCAAAAGAATTTTCATTTTTTTTTAGAAAATATAGAATTTACCTCTTTAGCATATTAACAAAGTTGGTTCCAACATAAGGATAAATTATTCTGTTTTAAATACTGATGAATTTGCATATGAAATATTAAACAATAAAAAAGAATAAGTGGATGTACACATTAATTTTGCTTCATTCCATTTCATTCTTTGCCTCATCTCCAATTACCAATCTTTTTAGCTCTCCTATGGCTCTGCTCCATTGACAATGAATCACACCCAAACCACTTACTTCTACCAAATGGTTCCAAATGAAGCCCATCAGTATAAGGAAATTCTCAAATTACTTCTCTATTTCAGGTGGACCTGGGTTGGATTTTTCATTGCAAATGGAATAAATTCTGAATGGATATTTCAAATTATGGTTCCAGAATTTGTTACTTGTGGACTTTGCTTTGCTTTTATAGATACAATCTACAATATAGGAATGAAAAGTGAATATGGGAATATTAAAAAATGGAAATATAAATTATGGAATAGAATCATGACCAGCACAGCTAATATATTTCTCCTCTTTGGTGATATTCGCACTCCAGTATTTTTGGACATGTTGTTACGTCTAGGAAGGGATAATGAAAGAACAAACAAGATCAATGGTAAAGTGTGGATTTTGACTGCTCAGCTAGAACTTAAATACTATAGTAATAAACGGGGTCAAAAAACTGCTGAACTAATCTATCATGGTGCTTTATCCTTGGCTATCCATTCAAGTGAACTACAAGGATTTAAGGAATTTATTTGGGACAGAAAGCCTTCCAATGTGAAAGAAGATTTTTTAATGAGCGACTTTTGGTCTTCTGCTTTTGGCTGCAATTTCCCCAATTGGATTCTGAACCGTAAATATAGAAACCTCTGCAGTGGACTGGAGGACTTGGAGAACATTTCTGAAAACATTTTAGAGAAAACCATTACTGGGCATAGCTACAGCATCTATAATGCTGCCTTTGCTGTGGCTCATGCTTTGCATGCCATGTATTCCTCCAGATTCAAGTACAAAAAAATGATGGAGAAGAGGAAATGGACATCTCTTACTCAGCAATCATGGAAGGTAATATTTCGAAAGGCCCATTGGTTCTTTATTCTCAGTAGTGGAGCTAATACCATAAAAGCATACAAGTAATTATTTAAATAAACTGCAGTGAGCAAACCTGTTAATAGGAATCCTTGTATTAGTATAATGCTTTCTATAACATGGGTGGGGGGCATATGAATTTTATCAATATTTATTAAATTTATTACTCTTATTATTGTGTAACAAACAATTCTAGAAAATTTTGTATACAATTTTTTTATTAAGATCACAATCCATTTTTTGACATAAAATTCTTAAATGGCCTATTTAAAAAGTTGTTACATGACTAATGTTATGTAAGATGTAATTATCTTTTGTTTAAAAACAGAATCTGGGGTATCTTTTCATGCTTGATATAATATTAAATTGTTTACTCACAATTATTTCCTATTTAGTTAAATAGAGCTTAATCCTAAGTAAGTAGTTCAATTCCATTTAGTTAGTTCAAGGAAAGTTCCTGCTCAGTTAATTTGAAATTTAAAATTTGTTGCACAATAATTAATTGGTATTCAGGAAACATATTCCTACAAAAATGCACTTAAATATTTAGGGTTTGTGTGCACGTAGGTTTCTTTGTGTAAATGACTTCTAATCATTTACACAAAAATTTCATGGCCAGATTTTTGGAAGTGGTTTAACCTTGCCTTCTTCATAAGTCTGGGAGGGAGAGATCACCCACTTCACTTCATGCCTAAGGCAGAATTAGAACTCACAGTCTCAGAACAGAACTCAATTCTGATTACCTGCTGATTTCCCATTAAGTTTCCTTATAGAGAGCTGGGAGCATCAGAAATCTTCCTTCCTTTTTTCCTTCCTTCCTTCCCCCCTCCTTACCTCCCCTTCCTTCTTACTTGCTCTCTCTTCCTCCTTTCCTTCCTTCTTCCCTCTCTCCTGGGTTCCTCTTTTACTTTGTTATAGTAAGCTTACAAGGAGAAAATCAGTCAGAAAGTAACAAGTTACACTATCTAGCTACTGCTGCACCATTGCTCATTAAGACAATCTGAATTATTGACTTAAAATCAGTTCAAAGCCAATAGAATTTCCTAGTGTGAGACACATTTGGAGCTGACTTTTACATGAAATTATTCCAACCTCCAATGACTTACGGTATACATGTTGTGTCTGGAAGTGGATAGGTGAAACAAATATTCACATCTTTCTTCAGTTCCCTGAGTTGGAACACTTTCTAAAGTATTTGTTTTTCTTTTTTAAAAGAGTTTTTTATTTTTAGACAAAGATGAACAACACATGAAACATAAAACCATCATCAATTACATATACATCTAGCATGTCGTTTGGTTAAAAACATTTGTGCATCACTGCTTTCAATTATATATAAAATCACAGATTGTCCATCAAGTATACATAGGTACATTTTTTTCATTGTAGATCGTATGTTCAGCTTACAATTGTTATTCCTTCATTTTAAACAAATATTCTAAAGATTAGATTCATGTATATACCAACATTCCATTACATCATTATTAATCTATTTAGTAATAATATGTCTTTATAGTATCATCTATCTCATTCTATTATTACAATATGAAAAACATCTCCAAGATTTTTCATTTCCATATTTTTTTTAATGTTACCACTGTAGAACAAATCCCATACCTTATAAAATTGTTCATCTTCTTGTTCTCTAATTTCGAATGTCAATGTACTCATTTCAGCACATTCCATTGTTTTTCGAATAACTTCCTCCTACGTTGGTATTTTCTCGTTTTTCCAATTTTTTGCAAATACAATTCTAACTGCCGTTAAAACATTTACAATC